TAGGGAGGTTGTGGCCCCGCCCCCTGTCACACACAGAGCCACAGGGCGATCAGGGGGGTTGGGCGCTGCCCCCTGTCAAGCTGATCCCGGTGCTAGGAGGCCTCGCGGCTCCGCTGATCCCAGGCCGGGAGGCCTCGTGGCTCCGCTGATCCCGGTGCTGGGAGGCCTTGCTGTTCCACTGATCCCGGTGCCAGGAGGCCTTGCGGCTCTGCTGATCCCGGTGCTGGGAGGCATATTACTCTTTTACTATATAGGATAGAGGCCTGGTGCATGGGTGGGGGCCGGCTGGTTTGCCCTGAAGGGTGTCCCGGATCAGGGTGGGGGTCCCGCTTGGGTGCCTGGCCAGCCTGGATGAGGGGATGATGGCTGTTTGCAGCTGGTCACACCCCTTTCAGGGTGGGGGTCCCTACTGGGGTGCCTGGCCAGCCTGGATGAGGGGCTGAAGGCCGTTTTCAGGCTGGCGGGTGACTGAAGCTCCCAACCTCTCCATTTTTTCTTTTTTCTTTTTATTCTCAGATTTATTTGCCTTCTATGGCTGTCACTGGAGCTGAGAGCCAACTTTAGCTTTGAGGCTCAGCTCCAGCTCTGAGACCTCGGCTGCTGAAAGCAGGTATCTGGGCTTTGTTTACCTTCTGTATTTGAAACTTTGTTGCGACTCCAGCTCTGAGATCCTGGCTGACTGAAAGCAGGTATCTGGGTTTTTTTAAGCTTCTATAATTGCAACAATGTTTCTTAAACTGCAGCTCAGAGGCCGGCAGCGGCAGGCGGGGAATGTTGGCTTCCTCCATCACTGGAGCAAGCAAACCTCCTGTTCGCTTCAGCTGCCTGGCTGCCGGCCGCCATCTTGGTTGGCAGTTAATTTGCATATCTCGCTGATTAGCCAATGGGAAGGGTAGCGAAGTTAGGGTTAATTACCATGTTTCTCTATTATTAGATAGGATGGGAGGGTCACTGGTGTCTTACACAGGGTGAGGAAAGCAGGTTTACAGTTGTTCGTATGGGAAATAATGCAATCCTATCTAATAAAGAGGGAATATGCTAATTGACTGCCCCACCCTCAAAGATGGCAGCGCCCACAGCCACAAGATGGCCTGCAGGGGAGGGCAGTTGGGGGTGACAAGGCTGGCAGGGGAGGGCAGTTGGGGCGATCGGACCGGCAGGGGAGAAGTTAGGCATCGATCAGGCTGGCAGGGGAGTGGTTAGGGGGTGATCAGGCTGGCGGTTAGGGGCAATCAGGCAGGCAGGCAGGCAGGCAGGCAAGCGGTTGGGTGCCAGCAGTCCCAGATTGTGAGAGGGATGTCCAACTGCTGGTTTAGGCCTGTGGGATCGGGCCTAAACTGGCAGTCAGACATCCTCCGAGGGGTCCCAGATTGGAGAGTGCAGGCTGGGCTGAGGAACACCCTCTGCCAGTGCACAAATTTCATGCACAGGGCCTCTAGTAATTAATAAATAGTAATACAAGAATAAACTCTGTGTTTCATGTACTCACAGCTGTAAGCCTACTTTTGCCTGACCCTGTATACTCTTTGGTTAGATTTGAGCTCATATTTAAGTGTATTAATGAAATCACTTATTCATATAGCACATATTATTTTTACTGGCCGGTTTTATATGTTAGACACTGCTTTTTAGTGGGAGAGATGGATGATGATTAAACAAATAAATAAACAAGAAAATATAAAATAACAATAAGACAATACTTCATGTGAGTGACTGGCATTTGCTTTAGAAAGAGTAGTCAGGGAAGGCATCCCTGAGGATTGGGCTGGAGCTTGAATGATAACAAGGTGCCAATCAAGGGGAAGATATGGGTGAAACAGCAGTTGCAAAGGCCCTGGGGCAGGAGTGAGTGTGGTGAGTTTGAGTCCAGGGTGGGCAAGGAGTATGGGGAAGGGGAGTGTGTTGAGGACTTACTAGAGATCAGCTCATAGGGCCTTGTAAGGGCTGGGTAAGGAAGTGAATTTGTATTCAGAGCCTAAGAAGAGTTTTGAGGAGTGTGATATGATCTGTTTCATAGTTCTGAAACAACTTTATACAGGCTGGAGGATGGATTTTAGTGGGGGTGAATGTGGGTCAATGTCTTCAGCCAAGGAAGCCTGAGTTTTCATAGCCCCCGCTCTATAGAAAAACAGCATAATTAAGCTCAAAAGTTCCTTTTCAGTAAGGACAACAGGCAAAGGTTTTTAGGGACCCAGGGCATCAACCACTGCAGTGATTGTGCCTGGGGTTAAGCCATGAGACGTGAATGTAACCTAACAAATGAATTAAAGTCACGATGTGCTTTTATTTATAAAAATTAAGCGTTTTCAAATCTGACTGTCCTTCTGCTTAAAACATCCAGTGGACAGTGGTGGCGGAGGAGGCAGTGACAGCTCCACATGCAGGACTGTCCACCTCAGCATGATGCCTTCCCAGGGCTGCCCACAGCCTTTGCAGGAGTATGTTCTCAAGTCAGATGACTAATCGTGCTTCGTGGTTTTTATGACGTCTCTATGGAAACTCTTAGAAACACCTGGACTGGTGAGCTGTAGAATTATGCATCGAGTCTCCCTCCATGGCAGCCCATGCTCTGCTGTCCCTGGGTCTTGGCTGAACTATGCAGACTGCTCCCAGGGGCGGTGCCAGGGTGGTGGTGTTGGACTGGGGTGTGTCGGGCAGCCTGTGTCTGAATCTCTTCTTTGCTTAGAGCAGAGTTTTCCTAGACAAGGACTTAACCCCTAGGAGATGCAGAGGTCTCACCTGCGACATAAGGGTGGTACTAGTGCCCGCCTCAGGGGTTATTGCAAGGCTCAGAGGCACATGCCCCTCAGGTAGCCAGCACAGTTCCTGGCCTGGGGCCAGCGCTTCACACTGTGTCAAGCTTTTGTAAGCCCTCTACACCCTCTCTATTTAAAAGGTGGCCCCGGAGGCAGCCATGCCCCTGGGAGATTGTCATAGAATCTCTACTCCAGACCTGCTGAGTCAGATTTTGCCCTCGAGCAAGATCCCCGGTGAGTCTGGGGGAAGTTTCCCTGGAAGTGCTCTCTAAGCCAACGTGTGGAGGAAGGAGTGTAGGGTCTGTTTTCATTAAGGAAACCTGTCAGCAGCACCACATGGTGCAAGGTCTTCAGCCGCAGGACGCAAATGAGCCTAACTAGCTGGGTGTTCGTGGCCCACCGTGCACCCTCCAGCCCCAGGACTCAGTTCCTTCACCTGTAACATGACTCACCTGTTTTAGAGGTTTGCTGAGAGAATAAATGAAATCATGTGACAGCTGATATCCAAGAGTGAAAAGTTAGTTGTTTTCCTGCTGTTTACCCAGAAAAGGGCGTCATGGCTCCTGTGGCTGTTAGTACAGTCTCCAGAGAGCCTGACTCCCTGTTGCCCACAGTGGCTCACCGAGTGGCAGTGGACGCGACCTGCTATTTGGTGTCTCGATTAAACTAATGGAGAGTGACAGTGGCCCAGGAGCTACAGCCTGGTGTTCTCAGTACCTAAATGGGAGCGTTTTGTAGTTTGGCTAAAAGGCATTGCCCTAGAAAAGACGAGCGCTGTGGCAACGGATGCTTCTGTCACTGACAAACCAGTCAGAATTACAGTGTAACGGACGCTGTGTGGGAGTCACTGGATGCTTCTGGGTGGACCATTTAATGTCACACATTTAGCAGCCACAAAAGCCTTTTATTTATTTCCAAACATCACAAAGCAAGAAACAAAAGACAGTGTTTATATGAGCAGGCTGTCAAGTACACTGAAACCCCCAATATATTCCGGCACAAGAAAAACACACAACTGTACACCAAAGACACAGCGCAGGAGAACCCCTGGTGTGGGGGTGGAGTTCTCCAGGGAAGGAAAGGGTCTGACCAGGTGCAGAGCACACAGCATGCAGCGTATGCAGCGCTAGTGTCAGCAAATCTCGCCCATGCTCACGGGAATGAATTGCTTTACTTGTTAAGGCACAGACGTTGATAACAGGATCACCCCGACTTTAACACCACACTGAGCAAAAGGAGCAGTAATCCCCCCAAGTTTTCTTTCCTAGATAACGTTTCAGGAAATCATGCAATAGAGACACAGTTACAATGAGCAAAAGCAAAGCTTCCAAGACGGTCGCATGCAATCCTACAATTTCTCAAACCTGAAACCACCGTGAAGCAATCTCTGGAGACACACCCCCTCCCATCTACCAGGCCCTCTTGTGTTAAAGGCAGAAAAGGAATAACAGGGAAAAGGCTTTTAAAATAGGGAAATATATACCTCAGGAGAGCAAGGCATCAAAATACTGTACACACGGGTATGTTCTGGTTTTCCAAAGCACGTCATCTCCTTTTCGTTAGAATTTTGAAAGCTGCCTTAGGCTGAATGCATGAAACCCAACAACAAAAGCAACAACTCTAATAACAAAAGTAGGGGCATCCTGGGTCACATTTCGATGCTATTTTTCAGAGGAGGTTGGTGAGGGTATGAGGGTAGAAAGGACGCCGTGCTGCATCGCTTCTTTCACAAAGAGTTCATTGTTGTGGGGCAACTGTTGCACTGTGAACAGAATAACAGGATGGAAACTCAAGTGTCTTATGAAATAAGGGCAAAGCCATCGGAGCGGCTGGCAGTCGAGGTCCGGCGCGGTAAGAGGTTTGCTTGGGAGAGCTTCGACCCACCCTCCTGTCAATGAGAATCCTTCAGTCTGGACGACCCGAGGGGCGAGGACATGCCAGGAGGCGGGTGGGCAGGCAAGCGCTGCAAACCCTGGCTCATGGAATGAGCGCACACAGCAGCCGAGCACAGCCTCCTCCCGTGGCTGTTGGGGAAATCAGAGACTTACCCACGTTGGGATCCTTTCAGAGAGCCTGTTACTTTCCATTTCCCTGTCAGAGGCTCTGCAAGCTTCAAAACAAGACGCACTCAACCTTGGCTGTTCACACATTCTGGCGTCTTCGATTCCCCCCCTCTTCTCTCTAAACACCTTAGCTGGCTGGAGGGTCAGCAGTGGCCGGAGGGACTGGCCTCCGGCCCGCGTCCTAGCCCAGGCTCACGCCGGGGCAGCAGCACAGGATCTCGCGGAAGGTGCTCCTCAGCTCGGGGCTGCGGAAGGCGTAGATGAGCGGGTCGATGACGGAGTTGCACATGATAAGCACCAGGTAGGTGTTGAAGTGCGCAGCGTAGCAGACGCAGGAGGGGTTGGTGGGGCAGGTGATGATGAGCACGAGGTGGAGGAAGAAGGGGGCCCAGCAGATGACGAAGACGCCCAGCAGGATGGTGATGGTGACGGCGCCCTTGAGGCTCGAGCGCTGCGGCGGGGCCGCCCCGACGGCGGGGGGCAGCGCGGCGATGCGCCGCACGTGCAGCCGCGCGAAGAGGCACATGTGCACGTAGAGGGTGCCCATGAGCAGCAGCATGGCGAAGAACAGGGTGACGAGGCACACGATGACCATCTTGCTCTCCGAGTAGACGATGAACACGACGCCGCAGACGCCGCAGCACAGCCAGACGGCCACGATCAGGGCGCGCGCCCGGCGCACCGTCACGATGCTGTGGTAGCGCAGCGCGTAGAAGATGGTGACGTACCGGTCCACCGCGATGGCCAGGAGGTTGCAGATGGAGGCCACCAGCGAGATGCAGATCATGGAGTCGAAGATGTTGTCCATGTGCTGCACGAAGCGGTCCTCCAGGGCCAGCGAGCCGCTGTTGACCACGGCGATCATGATGGTCTCCAGGGCGTTGGACACGCTCACCAGCATGTCGGCCGCGGCCAGGCTGCAGAGGAAGAAGTACATGGGCGAGTGCAGGTTGCTGTTGCGGGCCACCGCCAGGATCACCAGGACGTTCTCCAGCAGGCTGACGCTGCCCAGAGCCAGGAACACCCCTGGCTGGATGAACACCTGCTCGCAGTACCCGCGGCCGCTCTGGTTGCCGGAGGAGGGGGCGTCCGGGAGCTCCGAGCTGTTAGGCTGCCCCGGCTGAGCAGAGGGCAGGAAGCACGAGGCGTTCATCGTGGACACAGGCTGACCGAGCTGGGCTGCGGCCGGGGGCATAGGCTGCTGCTGCTGCTGCTCCTCACAGGACGCAAGAGTTTCCTCCAGATGCTTGTGAGGGATGCTTGTCCTGTGCAGACTCGGATTCTGTTCTCCCAGACGGAAGGATGGAGAGCGAGCGAGCTGGGAGGCACACAGAGAACTTTCCCTGCTGCTCCAGGGCGAGCAGTTTTATGCGGACTCTTCTGTGTCTCCCTCCTTTCCCCTCCCTACTCCATCGCCATCCCCACTTGGGAACAGAAAACTGCCACCGGTTGCTACAGTTACGGCTCCTTTTCTGGCAAGACAGGGGATGTAGTACCTGTTGTTGGAAGTGAGGGGTGAACACTCACTTTTCATACATTGGCTGGTGGCAAACAACTCCTACTTAATCTCCAGCGCCGCGAAATGACCACTGAGCACCCGGAGGCTCTGTGACTGACAGCAGGTAGGCTCCCAGGGCTTGGGCAGGGGATCGGAAAGCAGGCTGGTGCCCCCTGCTGGCCAGACTGCGCATCTGTTTGCTGGCTTTTCTGAGCAGTTTATTTGTCCTGGAAACTGCCACAGGCATCCATTCATCCATTTACTTGTTCATTCATTCATTTTGAAAGTAAACATTTACTGCGCACCTATTCTGTGTCAGGTCTCTGCTGCTGGGCGCATAAGTTTATGGTGAGCAAGACAGACATGCTCTTCTTGTTTTCACCCAAACTTGGAGTCTGGGGTGGGAGACAAGAAATCAGGGAATTAAGTCCGTGTGATAAACGCTTGAATGGGGAGGGCCAGGGGGATGCTGGTGGATGAGCCGGGGCCCTAATCTGAATGGTAGAGGAAAGTTCTGAGGAAGGAGCGTCTCAGCCTGGACTCTAAGGAAGAAGAGGCCATGTGGGCTGGAGAGGTGGGGGCGGGGTTGGAGGAGGGTTCCAGCTGGAGAATGACAGCCCACCATTCGGAGGGAAGGGCAGTGGATCTTCACGCTGGCGTGGGGACCATCCAGAGGATGTGGGTGCAGAGGTCCCGCCTGGCCTGTGAGTGAGAATCACCCAGGCGAGGGCCTGGGCATGTGTGGGTGATTTTGAGAGGTGAGCAGGGGTGTAGCCAGAGTTTCCATCTGCTGAAAGGGAACCTTGGTGTTTTTGAAGAAATGAAAGTAGTTTGCTCTGCCTGGAGCATGGAGCCGGGGGGCACAATCTGAGAAGTGAGGCTGTCAAAGTTTTTTATTTTATTTTAAAGGTGAGAAGTGCCCTTTTAAAAAGGATGATTTTGGGAGTTTGAAAGTGGTGGGGGCTGTGGAAGGAAGGGTTCTAGGTAGAGCAGGGATGAGGTGGGTCTACATTTAGAAGGATTCCTGGCTGCAGAGTAGAGACTGGATGAGACAGGGAGGAGTGAGGAGCCAGGCAGGCCAAGGCTGCAAAGAGCCATGGCCAGATGATGGTGGCCGGAAGCAAGGAGGTGGCCCTGGCGTCCTGGGAGGAGTGGGCAGAGAATGTGGGAGGGAGGATCATGGAGGTTCCAGAGTGCTTGGGTATGGGATTGTGGGGAAGGGAGTGGGCGGGAACACCCACCTACTTCTTAAGCAACAGGGAGGATGGAGATGCCCTGGGAGCTGGAAACTGTAAAAGGCAGATTTGAGCATTTGACTTTAATACGTGGTTCATGCCAGGCTTGATGCTGCACAGAAGGATTGTGCAAAGTCTGGAAACACTGAATCCGCTTGCACCTACACACACACACACACACACACACACACACACAGATGCATGTACACACAGACACACACCCACACATTCCAGGTGGATTAATGAGCCATCTCACGATCATCTAACTGTGGGTACATGAGTGTGGGTGTATGTAAGTATGAGACAGGAGAAATATGCATATGGAAATATAAAATTTAGAATATTTATAAAACTTTGGAGTGGAGAGCTCTTAGTAAGCTGGGCAACCCAAAATTTAGTATGAACAAAAGGACCATAAGCCAAGTGAGAGACAAACAGGAAGAAAATGTTTGCCATGGGCAAAAGTTACTATCTCTTATAGAAACAATACCTGCACATTAATAAAAAAAAAGATGAATTAGCTCTTAGAAAATTGGGCAAAAGATACAAATGGAAATTCACTGAACAAGAAATGCAAATGTCTAATAAACATATGAAAAGATGTTCAGCCTTCTGGGGAGCCAGGGAAATGAAAATCAAACCGAGACTTCCATACCATTTTCCCAGTTGGATTGACAAGAATTAAAAAGATGTCAAGCTCAGGAGAGAATATTGGGGGAAGGACTCTCAGGCATACCTGTTGTTTGTGAATAGCTTCACCATTTGCCAGTGTCTACCAATGTACAAATCGTGCCTGGGTGTGGATCTCAGTCTATAAACTGAAGGGCGTGAGTAATACCACTTCTTTTTGTTTTCAGCAGAGCAGAATCTGATGTTAAACCAACCCATCTCCCAGGCTGGGGAGAAACACAATCTCAATCCGTTTGAGGCTTCCCCTCCCTCCTCACCTTCACGGTCACCTCCAGAGGTGCCTCTATGGTGTCCTGGTCTGAGGTTTCAGGGGCACTGGTCTTACCTGGACCACCAGGACTGCTCGGTGCTTTCCCTGCCCTGGGCCTGGCACGTGCCCAGCTAGAACACCTTCATATGCCTCCACTCTCTGATTCTCTGCCTCCTGTACAGAGAGCAGTGGGGCCTGGCACTTCAACTCCTCATCCTAAGAGTACCCTCCTTGCTAATGAGTGTCAATTTTGTCTTCTCTAAACGCTCCTTCCACTTACCTGGGGGAGCCATGCAGATGCAGAATGACTCCCTAATGGAATCTTCTAGAAACTAATTGGCTTTATTTGTTCATTTTAAAAATATATTTTTATTGATTTCAGAGAGGAAGGGAGAGGGAGAGAGAGAAAGAAACATCAATGATGAGAGAGAATCACTGATAAGCTGCCTCTTGCACACCCCACACTGAGTATTGAGCCCACAACCCGGGCATGTGCCCTGACCAGGAACCAAACTGTGACCCTTCTGGTTCATAGGTTGATGCTCAATCACTGAGCCACACCCCCAGGCCAAATTTACTTTATTAATAACAATCATAAGGCATGATAGTCTCACCAGTGTTTATTGTATGTTGTTGGCACATATGGGGGTGTCTGGTTAGAATCTATTATAATAAACTGTAATAAGGAGATTTTTTAACTATGAATTTTATTTTGTTTATTTATGTTTTAAAAATCTTTATTTTTGAGAGTATTACAGATGTCCCCCCTTTTCCTCCCATTGGCCCCCCTCCACCCCAGGTTACTGCCCTGCTCCAGGCCTTCACCCCCTACTGTTTGTGACCATAGGTAAGATCTTTGGTTACTCTCTTTCTGCCTCCCACCCTTCCCTCTAAGATTCATCAGTCTGTTCCATGTTTTCATGCCTCTGATTCTATTTTATTCACCAGTTTACTTTGTTCATTAGATTTCTTGTTTATTTTGATTTTTAGACTCGATTGTTGATAGATATATACTTATTGCCATTTTGTTGTTCATATTTTTAATCTTTTTCCTCTTCCTCTTCTTAAAGAATACCTTTTAATGTTTCATGTGATACTGGTTTGGTGGTGATGAACTCTTTTAGCTTTTTCTTGTCTGTGAAGCTCTTTATCTGACCTTTAATTCTAAATGATAGCTTTGCTGGGTAGAGTAATCTTGGCGGTAGGTCCTTGCTATTCATCACTTTGAATATTTCTTGCCACTTCCTCTGGTCTGCAAAGTTTCTGTTGAGAAATCAGCTGACAGTCATATGGATACTCCCTTGTAGGTAACTAACTGCTTTTTTCTTGATGCTTTTAAGATTCTTTCTTTGTCTTTAACCCTTGGCATGTTAATTATTATGTATCTTGGTATGGACCTCTTTTGGGTTCCTCTTGTTTGGGACTCTGCGATTCCTGAACTTGTAAATCTATTTCTTTCACCAGGTAGGGGGAGTTTTCTGTCATTATTTCTTCAAATAAGTTTTAAACATCTTCTTTTCTCTCTTCTCCTTCTAGCACCCCCATAATGCGAATGCTGGTACACTTGAAGTTGTCCCAGAGGCTCCTTACACTATCTTCATATTTTTGGACTCTTTTTTCTTTTTGCTCTTTTGATTGAGTGTTTTTTGTTTCCTCATATTACATATCATTGATTTGATTGTCAGAATCATCAACTCTACTGTTGCAACACCTCAAATGATTCTTTATTTCAGTTACTGTATGCTTAATTTCTGATTTTTCATGTCTTTGACATTATCACTAATTTCCTTAAAAGTCTCACTAAGTCCCTTGAAGCTCTCATGAAGATCCTTGAGTAACTTTATAACCATGGTTTTAAACTCTGTATCTAGTAGTTTGCTTGCTTCCATTTCTTTCATTTGTGACACGTTTCTTTGTCTCTGCATTTTGCTTGCTTCTGTGTTCATTTCTACCTATTATGTAGAGCTGCTATGTCTCCTGGAATTGGTAGAGTGGCCTTGTGTAGTAGGTATCCTCTAGGGCCTAGTGGCTCAGCCTCCCCAGTCACCTGAGTGCCCCTATGTGGGCTGTGTGCACAGTCTTGTAGTTGAGCCTTGATTGCTCTTGGTGTCACTGGGAGGAATTGACCTCCAGGCCAATTGGCTGTGAGGACCAGCTGCAACTATAGTGGGAGAGCTGCTGTGCAGGAAACACACCTATGGAGCAGGCTTTGGTGCTCACTGAGTCTGCCTCTTTTGTGTGTCGCTTGTGGATGTGTAGAGTCGTAATCTGGTATGGTCTGAAGCTGTCCACAAGGTTCACTGGTTCTAAGGCCTTCAGGGAAGTGCAAAGTCAGCCACTGCCTGGGGCCACCTGGCAGGAGCTATAGAGAGATCTGCAGATGGCTTCTATTTTTATTGGGCTTGAAAGTGCCCAGGTGAGGCCCAGCTGTGAAGCAAGGCAGGCTTGTTCTGGTGCCAGGTCTTGGGCCCTTTATTGATAGGTTTGGGGTATGCTGA